CGGTGTCCCGCGCCTCTGAGGCTTTGCTCTGGGTGTCCCTAGTCTGCTGGAGACGGTCCCCAGCAGACCAGAGGCACCGGGAGCAAAGCGGCAGTGGCAGCGGGGTGCCGCGCCTCTGAGGCTTTGCCAGAGCAAAGCCGGGGAGGCGCAGGACCCCTCCGCCTCCCTGGCTTTGCTCCAGGTGTCCCTGGTCTGCTGGAGATGGTCCCCAGCAGACCAGGGGCATCTGGAGTAGCTTTTCTCGCCCCAGAGGTTGAGGTGGCGGGACCGCTGTGCTCTCGGCGGTCCCGCTGTCTGTGAGCTCCGGGGTGAGAAAGCCCCGTTCGTAAGTGAGGATCCGACATAAGTCGGATCCGCGTAACTCGGGGACTGCCTGTATATGTGAAACTCACACCAGTATATCTATTCGAAGTCATTAATCTCTCTGTAAAGAAAGCTCCATATTAAGGTACTAAGTGGTCTTTTGCCATGTTCATAATCTTGCATCAGCCCCTCTGATTTAAGGGCAAATTTTCAAAATTAATAGAATAGATAAAGAAAATAGGTTAGGTAGCATACACTTTAAATGGGTGTCCAGGCATTGTATTTTCACCTAAATTTATTTTTTTCTACCCTTTTTTAAAGCACAGAACTGTTACACTTCATAGACAACCAGTTGGTGGCTTGGGCTTAAGTATAAAGGTATGCAGAGCATTTTGTTTTCTTGTTTTTTAAACTTCAGCATGTTTAGTGCATGATGGTTGTGGTTGAGATTTCATTATTTATACACATCTTTTTCAGGGTGGTGCCGAGCACAAAGTGCCTGTCGTCATATCAAAAATATTTAAAGACAAAGCAGGTAAAATATATCTCTGTACTTAAATATTTTTCTGGTGTTATATATATATGAGTCTTTTTTTAAAAACGATGTTCACTAGCTCAGAATTAAGTATATTTTTGGCTCACTGCATTAGCATTCTGGTATATAGTCTTTCAGCAAATGTTGAATGGCTGTATATGGACAATTGTCTCTCGTTCTGATTTCAAATAATGTGTAGTTTTTATTGTAGACTGGTAGCTAAAATGTTATCTGATAAATGTTAATTTTAGAAATATTTTTCACAATAGCACATCCTGATTATAAATACCGCCTTTAACTTTTCTTTGGGGCGAGGGGAATTGACATGAAAAAATAACTGCATCAATTAATTGTAATAACACAGGATAAACAAATGTAAACGAACTAAAACTTTTTTTCCAGAACTGTAATTCATTATCATATGCTATGACTAAACCTGTTTTTGACACCAATAGGCAGCCATCAACAATGCTGAATGAATATATATATAAATTAGTGTAATAGAACACACAATTAAAGCATTATACTGACAGTTGCTCAGTCCAAATAACCTAAATAAGACCCTATGTATCAATTAAAGCCCTACACTAAGGATGGAATTTTTCCAGGCACAGAGGTCACTAAGGTGAACTTCACTTTTAAAAAGGCACAGTACAAGCCTGGCAAGAAAAGACATAATAAAAAAAAATAAAAAGGAAGCAATCAGGAATAAACAAAATACCATTATTTTATGATTAGTACAGTCATCCTAAATTGAAGTTTTCGATAAATGAAAACCATAATAGACACAACAGTTTCATTCAAATTTGCATTTGTATTTCTAAGTTAAATAATCAGACACACACATTTGTAATGATTTAGGTCATTTTTATAATTTCCATGCACAAATGCTAGGCTTTGTAGGAATGCTGAGTGCCTACTTGCTAATGAAGCTGAAAGAACCTGTTCAGACACAACTGTCATTGCTGACTTTGGGAGGGTAATTTCTTTTCTCTGAGATTTCTTCTTTGTTTGTAGGAAATACAAAGAGGATCCTTCCTGCTAGTCTTCTTTAGGGTACAAACTAGAACAATATGTGTCTATATACATAAATATACATATTTTTAATCAGAAATCTGACCTGCCAGTTCTATCAGTTATCAGACAGGGAGCTGTGAAGTAAAAGAATGAGAAAGTCAGACTGATCTTAAGTAAGTCTTCTGAATGTTCATTCAGATGTGCTCAATGTGAATAAGAATTTGTGTATCTCGTGTTAATAATAATGAAAAAGACAGCCTCGCTGGAAATACAGCTCTGAGAAGAGTATTAAGCTGAGCTACTACTTGAAGCAAGTAAATTAATTTGAGAGTGAGTGGCATCAGGCAGGGATTTCTGTACTCCTGACAAGGCCTTCTGCCATGGCAGCTAGTCAGCCTAGCAATGTGAGAAGCACAGGGTCATCAAGAAACTTCACAAGTTGTAAAATACATTTTGCATATTTTATTTAGTTGCTAAACATACACAAATTTAGCGACAACTTGTAATTTCATTTAAAATTCTCTCTATGCAGTAATGAAACACGGTGCCAGAAAACTGAAGGAATGTACTGCTGTGTGAGGCAAATATCTGGCATTGTTAACAGTGCCTCAATAAGCAGCCTTATTACTAGAGCAATTGACCACTCCCAAGAGTCACTTTTTTAAAGGGTTTGCTGTTGTAACCACTGCTTGGTGAATCCCTAGCATAATCGTAGCTGTTAAACCTGAGCTGGAGAAGCCTTGTATGGGTGGGAATGGGGCCTGTGCCCTGCATCTACCTGGCCACTTTCCCTTGGGACAGGCCCCATGAACGTACATAAGAAGCTGCTAGAGGTGGCTTCATCTCTCAATTCTGCCTGCTGGATCTTTGCAACAAATAAGGTAATCTTTTATAGCTATTAAAATATACATTGGGGAAGGATGGAAGTAACTATTTTGTGATTTGTACCTTGCCTGTTCAAAAACAATCCTAAGTCACTACTACGTTTCATAGTTAAGAACTGAATGGATGATGTTTCAGAGGAATTTTGATTGTTTCCTTTAGCCAGATATCCTAAATTTTCCCTCAAAAAATCTGTTTGCTTAAACCTCATTAACTACAATATTAACTTCCTTAAGTTTCTGATCCTTTCATCCAATTCCTTTCCCTTCCCAGAATTTGGAAGATTGCTTGCCCTTCCTTTCTGCAGTCATAATAGGCCAGTTTGGTTGCTGATTTTAGCTCAAGATAGCCATCTTTCCACTGATACAGGATAGTCTCATTTCCCTTCCTCCCTTTCTCCCTCTCTCTCACACATACATGTGCGCGCACGCACGCACACACATACACAGAGGGGCTTGATTTTCCGCAAATGCTTTTAACAGAAAAGTTTTCCGTTAAAAGCATTTGCGGAAAAGTGCGTCTAGATTGGCACGGACGCTTTTCTGCAAAAGCACTTTTTGCGGAAAAGCATCCGTGCCAATCTAGACGCGCTTTTGCGCAAAAAAAGCCCCGATCGCCTTTTTAGCCATCGGGGCTTTTTGCGCAAAACAGTACTGTGCTGTCTACATTGGCCCTCTTGCGCAAATGATTTGCGCAAGAGGGCTTTTGCCCGAACGGGAGCAGCATAGTACATAGTGTTCTTGCGGAAATTCAAGTGGCCAGTGTAGACAGCTGGCATGATTTTGTGGAAAAACTTGCCAGTCTAGACACAGCCAGGGAGTTTGCGCTGCTTTCTCTCACATCTCATGGAACCCATTTGCTATCTTAGTGTAGAGACTCAAGCTATGACGGAACTCAAACTCAAAACCTTTGGCTGATCTATGCTTATTGACTTGGGCTCACTGGGATGTTCAGTTGCAAAGTAGCTGCTCTGGCTTGGGCTGTAGCCCAACCTCTGGGACCCTGCCCAGTGACAGGGTCCCAGACCTCAGACTCCAGTCTGAGTCTGAACATCTGCTACAGCTAAACATTCACTTAGCCTGAATCATGAACTTGAATCAGCTGGCATGGACCAGGCATGGGTTTTCACTGCAGAGTAGATATAGCCCCAGGTATCTCAAGATAGCTTCTGGATGAAAAGAGTTGTCTCTAGTTGCATTCCATCCATCAAATTGTAAGTAGGATTCAATGTCATTACAGTAAAACTCCGATAGTCCGGCATCCAACTGTTCGGCAGTCCCGATACTCCGGCATCAAAATGCCAGGCGCTCCTGACCAGCTGATTAAAAAGCTTGCCGCTCAGCACACATGCTGGCTGTAACCAGAGGGAGCATAAGGTTGGGGGAGAGGGGGAGTGGGATCGTGTTACAGTATGGAGAAGAGCGTTTTGCTTCAGTGAAGGGGAAAGGGGAGGGGAGAGGGAGGAGGATCCGGTTACACCACGGAGGAGACCTGAAGAGGAAAGGGGAGCAGAGAAGGAAGGAGATTGTGTCCTGGCCAGCTGTTAAGCCACGCAGCTGTACAGGACCTCCCGATTCTCCGGCAAATCTGATAATCCGGCACCACCTAGGTCCAAAAGGTGCCGGATTATCAGAAGTCTACTGTAATTTCACCAACATCTGATTAGCAAAACAATGAGAAATGTCTACATCATTTTGAACTCATTACTACTCTTAAACACTCGGGTATCAATAGCAAGAAGAAGTATATGTCTCCATCCTTCAACTCATTAAGGGACTCTTCTCAGATCATGGCCTAGCAACTGTTACTGGTCCGATTGTAACTTCCAGATTAGATTACTGTAACTCACTCAACTGAGAGTTCAGTGTGTGTGTCAACAAGAAATTTCTCAGTACCACATGCAGTAGCCCATTTCCTAATCAGAATATCAAGCTTACTGTGATGACTTCAGGGCTGCGTCTAAATTGGCATGATTTTCTGGAAATGCTTTTAACGGAAAAGTTTTCCATTAAAAGCATTTTTGGAACAGAGCGTCTAGATTGGCACGGACGCTTTTCCGCAAAAGCACTTTTTGTGGAAAAGTGTCCGTGCCAATCTAGACGCGCTTTTCCGCAAAAAAAGCCCCAATCGCCATTTTCGCGATCGGGGCTTTTTTGCAGAAAACAAATATGAGCTGTCTACACTGGCCCTTTTGCGCAAAAGCTTTGCGCAAAAGGGACTTTTGCCTGAACGGGCGCAGAATAGTATTTCCCCAAGAATGACTGATTTCTTACAGTAGGAAGTCAGTGCTTTTGTGGAAATTCAAGTGGCCAGTGTAAACAGCTGGCAAGTTTTCCCGGAAAAGTGGCAGATTTTCCGAAAAACTGGCCAGTCTAGGCACAGCCCAGATATTTAAAATATAATTATAGTTGCTCATCCAGTACTCTTATAAATTAAGAATCAGAGCATAAATAGGACTGCCCCTCTACATTATCTATGTGAAGCTCACACTATCCTCAACAGCTTTTACAAAGAGTGGAAAAGGACATGACCAGTGATTCATGTTCTCCTTGCCCTCGCTCTCTTTTCTGTCTCATGTACTAATTTTCCATTCATGACCCACCGCATGTACCTATTATTCAGTTTGCTGGAGCTTTTGATAGACAGAATGAATGGGAGGAGCTCAAGGCCCAAACCAGTAAATTAATACACACACACACACACACACACACACACACACACACACACACACTCTCTCTCTTTCAAAATAAAAATAATTACATGAGAGAGACCCTAATATCAGAGTCCACACTGATCCAATAGAAATGTGCATTTTAATATCAGCATGTAAATACTAGAGTGAAAATGTGTTAGACATGTGGTTAATAATGTGAGATTTTGTTAAGAATTGAGAGAAACTGAAATTACCTTGTGGATAAGTACAGGAAGTGGCAATACGAGGAGAAAGTTTGTAAATTGACAATGAAATATAATATTGTAAAACATGAAATCAATGTTATTCAAACTCGAAAAGGGAAAGTTGTATTTCCTGGAAATGCTGGAATATCACACAGAGAACATCTTTGGTATAGAAAACAAAAGAGCTATTTCTGAATAGCTTT